TAATTGTAAAATAAATTGAACTGCTATACTTTCATATGTTTTGTTTATAATAAAAGGCACTTCTCTATCACCACCTCAATACATAAGAGAAATTGTAACGCTTTAGCTTTTTATAAAGAAGCTGTAGAAAGACGAACATCTTTTAAATCGGCTGAAAAAAAAATCTTGGAAATTCCAAAATGTTGAAAATCACCCAAATTTCTATAGTATCGTTCTGCCTAACAATAGAATCCTCGACATCTTCATGATGGTATTCTCGGTTTTTGGATATGGAAATGAAATTTATCTCTGCCGCTCTCCGACAACAATAGTTAGATTTAAATTTTGATTGAAAAGAGCTGTGTAATAAAATAAATGAAAAAAATAAATAAGGATGATTTTAAAAGAGCAAGAAGAACAGAATTTCATCCTGGTTGTGCCCAGCAAGACCATAATCTATCTAATAATTATGTAACAAATGATACTAGCCCAAGTTTTGTTAAGATAATTTTCTTAGCAAGACGGGAACTTCTAGATTTGAACTGTCAACGGCGGAGACGCGGTATAATTTACACGGACTCTCTATGTAATATTAATATCTCTGAAGATACCTACCATTTCCTTGCCGTTTTTCCAATATTAAGAGATATAAGGCTTTCATCACTTTTAAAAACCAATAAGAAGAAACGATGAAGCTCCTTAACGGTAAAAATTGGTCCTCACTTTATAAATATATGGTGTAAGTCTTAAAGTATAGGAAATAATTAGTCGAACAATTTAATTTTAATTGAACCTCGATCTATAATATGGAATTCATCACGCTAACCGTAATTTGAAATAGTGTATCAAGTGTGAATAGTATAAATACAAACATTTAGTCATAGATTTATTATTTGTTATTGTCATTCATCAGTAGTTTGTATTATTGCTGAGTGATGTGTTTTTTCAATTTTGTTTCTATAATTATAATTATTATGTAATGTATTTGTGACTAGGGAAAAAAATAAAGATAATAATTAATATAATTAAACATGAAAGGTGAACATCCGACGGACGGACAATACTTCATGTCGTATATGTTAAATACGAAAATATAAGTAGAGATTAACAAAGAAAATTTGTATTTATTTTTGAAATATGTATTCTGATATTTTGATTAACAATAAACATTCTATATACATTCTATAAACTTCTCCAGTTCAAATCCTCAGTCCATTCCCTGTCCACAAGATCTCGACCTTCTAACCTTTACATGCCTTCTCACAGATCTGCATCATTCCAAAATTCCTTTATTGTTCGCTCTGTCAATTTCTGGAATTCCCTCCCTATCAAAATTCGACATTCCCCATCCATATCCACATTCAAAACCCTCCTATTCGAATTCCTATCCCAAAAACAGTCAGATAGTTGCTAACCATTCGAGCTGATTTTAATAGAGAATTTGATACATTTTTATTTTTTAATTCTTTATTTTTTTCGTAAAAGTGTATACTGGTCTATAAGAGCAAACAGCTTTAAGTGTCTTGTCATAGAATTAATGGTTTTGTATATAGTTTAGTTTGTTTTGTATATAGAATTTTTACCTTATATTTTTTTTTTACATTATTTCTTTTTTTCGATTGATTTTATTTTGGCCAGATGTAATATACTAATTTTGTTCTATTCTGTTATTCTCAAGGGACTGTGTCCCAGAATAAAGTTATTTTTCTATTTCTATTTCTGGATATGTTTATAACCTTAAATAAATACATTTACTGTAATTTACTGTATATATCTTTTGAATGGATATTAAATGTTAATAACAAAATTTTATGCTTTGGTGATAACAGAGTATTGTGAGATATGGGAATTAAAGGATGGAGGAGACTCGCCCAGGATAGGGAAGAATGGAGTAGGATTGTAGGGAAGGCCCAGGCCCTTGTAGGACTGTAGTAAGTAAGTAAAGGGCCATGGAGTAAGTAAGTAAAATTTATGCTGTGCTTTGTCTTGATGAATTTCTTTAACGCTATTGGTTGGGACAGAGGAGCATAATAAAGTTAAATAGATTCTTAAGAAAAAAATGGTTCAGAACCAATATAATCAATGACAAAATTAAAAAAAATCAATGATAATACAGATCAAATCTGAGAATGAATATTTGGACATGAGGTTCAAGTTTGTATGCCTTTGCAAATGGGATAACAAAAAGGTAACATATTATAAAATACGTATAAGCTGCATGAAAATAATTAGAGAATAATTCTGTCACATCCTAAAATACAAATGAATACGGAGATTAGAACAGGAATGACTGATTATGTTAACCGGTTTTAAGAAGAACATAACTCTAAAATCGTTTAGGAAATAACTCCGTTATCCGAGGCTTTGTAATAATAAATGAAGCCGAACAATAATCTAAGGAGATTAAGGTAGGCGCTTTGCAGAAGGGCTGGTGGAACCAGCTGTCCTAGAAAGAACAGATTGTCTGAGGGAAAATTAAATGGGAAGCTTTAGTAGGGAGTAATAAAGGTGGTGGTGTAGGGCCGGGGTGGGCTTTTATAAGGTCACATTGTCCCCGCTTCGTTTTTGAAGAACCATAACTAATTCTATCAGTAATCCCAAAGTGGTAATAATATTTTCATGTGACCCTAGTTTATATTATAATTCATAATGAGATATAAAATAACATGTACTGCAATCCCTAAACAGAAAAATCTGGTGCGTGCATCACACGACTTTCACTTACCACCGTCTCCTTATCAGAAATAAGTATTTTCAGGCAAAGGGAATGTGAAAATAAAAATTATTTACGCTATATTTGTTTACCATTCATTGTGGGTATTTTTGTTGGATATCGCTGTATTCTATACCATTAAATATTAAATAATACCAACTATAGCATTTATGAAAACCGTGTATGTATATGAACATAATTTTGTCGGAGTCCGTAATATATGAAGCTCATGTTACGTAATTGAAACATTATTACAACTATTATCCATTACGATGTCTTATTTCTCATTTAGTTTTAACTATCAAATTCTTTCATATTTTACATTTAACTTTTTTTTTTACATCAAAGAATAATGTGAAATGGTTAATTATTTCAAATAAAAAATAAATAAAGTTACTTTAGGGGAAGCCAATATTGAAAATTATCCATTTAGAAAACATCAATGAGAATAAAACCTGCATTATATTAAAAACAATTTAATAATGCACTGATATAGTGAGTTTTTGAGAAAATCGTAAAAATGTGTTAAATCGAATCTATAAAGTTTCACTTCCGGTTTCCGATTTTGACGAAAATGTTGCTGTAACATCGAAAGCTTATAAAAACCTGAAATATGCAATTTCACTTACATACGAACATACATACAAACCATTTCGCGAGACTTCGTTATTTGGACTCAGGAGTCCTCAAAACATGTATTTCCGTTCAAAACTCAGATTAGAAAATTTTCACGATCGGAAGACTTACCCTTTCTATATATCGCATAGATATGTGAAAGTAATAACTTCTTTTCGTAGTGGGTAGTCAACCAGTGGGCTCTTTTTTAATCAAACTATTAACATTTGTCTAAAACGAAATTTTCAATAATTTTCGTAAATAAAAAAGTTTTCGGTTACGGTAAGATGTCGAAATAATGCAATTTAAACGGATCTTAATAATTTGGTAAAATAAGTCTGTACCACAGACTAGGAATCCTAGTCAGATATAAGATTTATTTCTATATGCTCTATTATGGAACTAAAAAAAAAATTGTAATGAATGTATAATTTATTATGGTGATATAAATGAATATTTTGATATAAATAATTTTAGGCACAATATACATAAACCAAATAAAATTTTACCCTCACCATCTTAAATTATATTATTTTTAATTTTGTTATTAATACTTTGTAATGTAATATAAGAATTTGAATATACACTTGCGTACCCAATTTTATAACCCGTGTGTTATTTCCATTCTGTTTAACTTATAAGCCGCTACATAACCTGACAAGTTACATCACGCATTAAGGAAGGTGAAATGTGTTTTATTTACTTTTCAGATATCTTCAATATAAGACTATTATAACGTCATCGGAGGCGTAGTTTATTAAAAAATAATATCGATTTTAAAATTTCGCAACCGTGCATATATTTACTTTACTTTTTTCGTATTTTGTCGTAGTTGCGTTCAACGATTGTAATATAAGAATTTCGAATGACATGTTAAAAAAATTGTGCGATCCATTCGCATGAGTTAACTGGTTTTCTGTAATGTTATTTCTTTTATACGAATTATTTTCATGTTGAACATTACTTAATATCCAAAAAAAAATATAGTGACAAGCAGCAATATGGTTTGTTTAAGTTAGCCGGCTTTTCAGGTTTTTGAAAATTACATTGATCTTACTTGTTCAGGTCTTATTCTATTTTTATTATCCTTTAATCCGCCATTAATTTTCAGATGTTTTACATTTTTTTTTTGTTATTTTAAATTTTCCACTGCGTTGGAACGCATCAAGCAAATGTGTTAGCGTTAATTATATCTTCTTGAATTCCTAATATCTTCTTAACTTTTCAACAGATCTCTAGGCCACTGCCTTTTTAGTCGTCTTTGAGGCTCACCAGGTAACAGGGAGGAAGATAGAGATAGAACGAGTGGATTTGGATGATTGAGAGTAGAAGTGTGAAATGTTGTGTACTTGTTGTGTATGTAGGATTTTACTTATTAGGAGTTACATATTTATGAAAATATTTTTCACTGTTCTAAATAAGAATATTTTATTAATTTACCATACCATCTGTTGGCCTTAGTTATGCGTTATCCGGCGTTGTGTTGTAAACTTGTATCAGATAAAGGGGTTTAATGGCTTTACTTCGCCTGTGTTTATGAATAAATTTGGCTGGTACCTATTCCAAGGCTTATCATCGTTGTTTCGAAACAAGACTTCGAATAAGAATTTCTTCTTTGCTGGTAAGAGCTCATCTTCCTCCTTAAGGTAAGAACAAGGTGTACTGGGCCGTGAGGAATCATAAGGAAAGGGTGTTATAGCCGCGTAGCGTCGAGCGGCGTGCTTGGGAACCTCTTAGGCTGTCCGTGACGGGAATAGGGGGGAGGAGGAGGAGGAAGGAAGGAGGGGCGCTTGATGAATTCACATAAGGAACACGAAACGTCAATACCCTGATACCTGGATAGCTCATGCAGATCCCGTAGCCGTTCAATCAGCACCGGACCCGAGGAGTGCTGGATCCGAGAGCGCTATGGATCAGATGTGGGGAACAATTTGATTAATGCTGTTCTTTTAAACATGGGCTAAGATCGCAAACAAAGCCTCCCTTCAGAGAAAATTGTGTCCCTTTTTTTAATTTCAATTTCATATCCTTTCAGCGCGGAGGGATATGTCTTTTCCCATCCTACTCCTGAATTATTTAGTAGCTCTCTTCCGAGGCATTCATCGATGTAGAAATATTGAAATTCGCATGAATCGAAAAATAATAACTTACTTTCAAAAATATTTTTTAAGAGGTATAAATATTGTTCTTGGTATAATTATTATTGGTATCAATATATCCTAATATATATATATGATGAATAATTGAAAGAAATAATTGACCACCATTAAAGAAATACCTGGGGTGCGGCCAACTATCACACATTATATTGGTGTAATTTTTATTAATAGACAACGTTTCGAATTACGCTTTAGGTCTTCATCAGGACTTTCGCCATAAGACACAAGAGCACTCTAATAAATAAATAAAAGACCAGATGAAGACTTACGACATAGGTAAAAACTTATAAATACTATAAATAAATATTACACAAATATAGAGTGTGATTGATTGTTGACCGTACTCCTCCTGATTAACGATTATTTAGGTCCTAATGCATAATTTTTCAACGCTGTTTTGATTTTAGTTGGTCGCTATATGCTATTCAATAAGCTGCCTTGATAGCGACAAATAAAGTATGCACGTCCTGAGCTTCCAGTCGTTTTTCAAGCGCATATTATACATTCCTTTCTCTTCTGCCTGAATTCTGTGCCCTCATAATTAATTAGTGCGGGTAAGGATGACCATCAATAGTTGATATTATCGAAATCGATATTTTCCTTCTGATATTCGATATTTGACCATCGATAGTATCTAATTTGATATTATCGACTATCAATATACCTTGGTTATTTTAATATATTAATTTAAAATCAGAAATAAAAAAACTGTTGTTTTCGAAAGCGCTAGGAATCATATATAATTTGATAGTTAGAAAAAATAAATAAACCCATCTTGCCTGAGAGAGAGAATCACTTTATTATCATAAAAGGGTGCTGCCCAATTACATTGGGTTGCTTTAAACACAGCATACTTATTAATCGCTACAGACAATTTTCCAAAACTAATATACAATTATATAGTATTAACAATATGTATGAGCATAATATACAATTTTTTTTTATCTATATATATTTTTTTTATAATAATTTTTTTTTATTATAAATTATATAAATTTTTTCCCTATATTTTTATTTATTTATTTATTTTATTTTTACTATTTCTTTCATTCATTTATTAGCATTTTACATCCCTTTCTGTTCCTTCTCTCATTCTATACATATTTCTCATTCTCTAGATTTTCTCCTCTCTTTTCCTAACCTAATTCATGACATGCATACAAATAAATAAAGTGCAGTGGACGTGGTCAATAAATAATGTAAAAGTTAGTGCGTAGTAAAGGAAAATATCAGTATTTCGATAGGATCGAAATCTACGTAGGAAGCAAATAAATTAGCGTTTCGCTGAATCCGATCTATGGGTGAATGTAAGGCATAATTGGTTGAATGGAAATGTCTTTAAAAAAACTGAGGATGACGAAAATGGTCAGGAACTTGAAAATTAATTTTACTAAGGAGGGTAGAAGAATTGTTATTTCCATTAATTAATTTAAAGTGGAAAATAGCATATTTATGACGTGCCTATGTGCTAGAGAATCAATATTTATATTGATATTCTTACTTCAAAAATGTTTATAATCGACGAAAATATCGACTATCCATTATAATAGCGTGGATATTAGGTGTGTTCCCCATCTTTAAATAGCTCTTATGGTTGGCTAACCATCTTATACCGGGAGCTAATTCCCTATCCAGATTATTCCCATTAGAAAAACGAAAACTTATGTTAATTATATCAATTTTCTCAAATAATGTTTATACATGATATAAACACTTTTATTCCTCCTTCCCTCCTCCCCTCAAAACGGAATGCCTACGTCTATACTTGATGGAAGTTTGAAATTAAATCCGCTATAAACGAAGTTCCCGAACCATTGTGAAACGTTAGCTGATTGATTCCTCGAACATTATCACATAAGTTCTTTGGTTATCACGAGCTTTACCACTTCTCTTTGTCTTAATTCATTTCCATTCAGTACCAAAAGAGCTAGAAAATGAAGAAAAGGTATGAAATGAAATGAAAATCATCAACAATAACGAATACATTACAGATGATACGCAGATTTTTTTACTTTCCTACCTATACTAGGTAAGGAAAGTACTGCAATCGGGTCAAATTTCCGATATGCGGTTTTCGACGGATCTATACGTTTCAGAGCCCCCTGAGTCCGAAAAACATATTTTTTTTACCATTGGTCTGTCTGTCTGTCTGTCTGCCTGTGTGTGCCAAGATTTTCTCGGTAACTACTGAATCGATTTTGTTCCTATAGTGTTATAATAATTGTCCTTTCAATTTTCGTATATGGACTGAATTTCCGAGAAAATTCAGTAAAAAAAGTTATAAAAAAGCAAAATGTTATGGGGCCTAACTCCCTAAGTATATATTATACCGTAAAATTTATAATAAAACTTTTGAAAGGTAATTAAATTACCAACAAAACAAAAGAAAAATCATCGGAATCGAACCAGTTTTAGCGATGAAAGCGCTTATTCTATTCTTTACACATGTTTTAACTTATTACTTTCCTTCCTATACTAGGTAAGGAAAGTATTGCAATCGGGACAAATTTCCGATATGCGGTTTTCGACGGATCTATACGTTTCAGAGCTCTCTGTGTGCGAAGAACATATTTTCGTTATATATTATACGGTCAAATTTATAATAAAACTTTTAAAAGAAAAACGCCGGATAGCCAGTTTTTTTTTTTAAAGAAAATGGAATTCCCCACAAAACTATATAAAAATCGTTCATTTTTGACAACTATTAACGAAGTTACAGCTATTCAATTTCCAATGTACGATTACGGGTTCATATCCTGGTGTCAGAAAGAGGTTAATAAGAGAAAAAATATGAAAATAAATCGTATTTAAATCTTTTCTTTGATCAATTTGCAGGAAAATAAATCTAGTTCAATTGTTTTTGTTTCTTCATGAACATATGTAAATATATAAAAACAAAAACAAAAAAAGTATTTAAGATATAAAAACTATTCTGAAATAGGTAGGGAAGTCCTGTGAGTGAACACACCGTGGACAGATTTATTATATTGTTTTGTAATTTACAACGAAACGTAAATACTTTTTATTGCCGTTAGAAAAAAATATAAAGAAAGAATATGAACATTATAAATTTAAGTAGGAAATTTTAATTGTAGAGTAATAATTTTTAAAATTATTTTAAGTACTTCTTAAAAATTCTATATGAGAATTGAATAGCCTAGGTTTATTTAATTTTGTAGCCTAATTAAACCAGCCAGCGTTAAATCATGGTAACTATTAGTTAATAATTTCCAGGAGCTGAGAAAGTAGACATCATAATTCAGTCTCCTGAGTCAACTACAGGAAAACTTTGCAGCGACCGCCCTTTAAAGAGTTTTTATACACGTCTAATTTAAAAGATTCTAGGAAGGAATTTTTTTTTTCGTTTAAAAAATGAATAATAGCTCGCAATATTAAGTTTCTTATATAAGAAGAATATTCTAAAATCATTATATTTTGAATGAAAATATTAAACTGAGACACGAAGATCAATATTTATTCAATCTTCTTAAAAAGTGGTTTAATTCAGCTATGCCACGATTGAAAAGTTCGATTAATGATTGATCTCATGTAGGCACGACAATGGAGTCAAATATTAATTTAAGAATCTAGTAAAATATTTTTCATTTAGAATGTTTTAGTTTTTGATAAAATCTTAAAAATAATAATATAATCCGCCATAATGAAACGAAATTGTAGATGGTAATATCCAATTCTCAGAACCATTGTGGGACACATTTGACTTAGACGCCCATTCTACAAAAAAAAAAAAAAAAAAAAAAAAAAAATGGGCGAGTACTTTGGAAGAAAACACCGCCGGAAATAATTAAATGTTAACGATTTTAAATTTTATTTTTATAAAATATTAAATTTCAACCTATTTAAAAAATAAATATTTGATGTAGTTTTTATATAATCTTATTCTTTATTAATAATACTACAACCCTCATAGAGTCCTGGCTTCCTCCAGCAGCAAACGCCAAGCGCGTCTCTATTCTTTACCGTTGGTATCCAGATTCACCAGTTCAAGCATTTCTAGCGTCATTTATTTATGTAAATATTTTTATTTATTATTTAATTATTTTTCGACCTACTGAATATAGCTTAGATAAAACATTATTTGTAAACAATTCTTTAACAAATACCTAAAATTAGACAAATATCTAAGGTCGTAGTAATAATGATAGATTTGGTGTCAATACGGCTAATTGTTCTGCTGTTGTCCAATATTCCAGTTATATCTTTCAAACAATTAAAGAAGTTGGCTACCTTGAGTTTCATCTAGGCATCTGTGAATGACTTGGAACCCTTGAACATGATTGAAACAAGATAATATGTGTAGTTTCCAACTATTTTAACAGTTACTATACAAGTTCTCTGAACTTTCAATTGTTTACGTACCTAATCCCTATACAATCCTGAGCTAAGTTGAAATTCTTTTTAATATGGAACTTATAAAACTAACTATGATGGCATTGAAGTCCCATATATTTTTGTTTATTATTTCCAATAATGAACCATTGTAATCGAATAAAAAATTCAAAGATTTAACCTCCATCTCAAAATTGGAGGTTTTACGTTTCAGGATACGAAGAATTCGAAAAATGAATAACAATTTTTTTTAATAACAAATCCGTCCGCCGTTCGCCGTACACCATACGCCGAACGCGCATTTTTTCCGAAACTACTGTACCGATTTTTTTCAAACATGGATTTAAAATCAGAGGTCACCCGAGGATGATCCTCCTTCATTGACATTACTATCCGC